GAACCGTACATCTTGAGGCTCATCGCCCCAAGAATACGATTTTTATCATCTCCTAAGCAAAGTCACTAACCACATGCGCATTGACCACGGTCTCGGGTGAAATTTGGTTAGTCAGCCTGTTGATTCATGCCCCGGCTGGTTCGTCTGGCTTTATCGTCACAGTGGGGTACTGCCTCTGGCGCACACAGGGGTCTGCAGGGACATCTTGGAGAAGCGGGCCAGGGGAAGAATGCTGCAGTCTTGGTTGAGTCCCCCGGCAGGAGCTGTAACAGCAGCAGACATCTGGGGAGACAGATAGTGAAAGCCAAGATGAAAATGGCAAAGCTTCCAGTGCTGAAGGGCTGTCCTCAAGGACCAGGGAGCTGAAGTGGAATGGCTGAGCATGCTGTTTGGGCCACGGTGGAAGGGCTTAGCTGGCTCCCAGGAGGGACATGGAGTCGGGAGGAGGGGGGCACAGCCAGGGAGGAGGGCTTGCTCTCTGAGATGCCTTGCAAAATGCTGTTGTACTCATTGCAAGAGAAATTGTGCTTTTTGGTTTTAAACAGCAGGTAAGTGAGGTTCTTCCTGAGCTATATTATAGCATTGCCTGCCAGGGTTGGCAAAATTTGCAGGTCTTCTGCGTCTTGCTGCGAGAGGCTGCCAGCCTATCCCTCCATTAGGTTGTGGCCAAGCGCAGACGGGACAAGCACATGCAGAGAAGAACGGGCAGCTCTGAGCACCTCTACCCTACCACTGCAGAGAAGCAAATAGTTTTTGACTGAAATTTTGTGAGCCCCAAAATAGTGCTCTAAGTGTTTAATGCTTTTCTCCATTAGACAGCAAATTAGCCCTAGGCTTGCAAACCAAATGAAGTTTCATCTTGACAATCGGAGCCTGCTCACCAGGCAGTTTTATCCCAAGCTCCCGCACACTGGTTGGTCAGCGAAATGGAGACTGCAACTTCTATTTATTGGTGCAATACAGTATTTGATACTGCTAATTACACTTAATTAGTCCTTCCACCATTTAATTAAAATGGCTTCTAATGATTGTGCTTCTTTGGCAGGCTCTTTGGTACCACCGGGAATTGTGCTGCCTGCAGTAAACTGATCCCTGCCTTTGAGATGGTGATGAGGGCCAGAGATAATGTTTACCATTTGGACTGCTTTGCCTGTCAGCTCTGCAACCAGCGGTGAGGACACAGTTACACACACAAACACAAACTAATTTATACCTTTGCCCATAAAATAGGGGAAATGTTTGATCCATGCTACCTGTCTGGGGCTTACAGCCTGCTGGCGTGACAGGCTGGTTTATTAGGCTGACCTGGGTGATGCATGGAAGTACCTAGATCTGGCCACGGTTGTATGCAGCACAGCTGCTGCTGAATAAAACAAACCGCTTCAGTGTTCTTTCAGGATCTACCCTCTTTGCAGAACACAGACGATGAAAACTGGACCTCCTCTGGCAAACTGACGTTATTTTGCTTCAATCAGGTTTCTGACAGGCTCAAAACTGGGGACAGCAAAGAAGAAGGAGAAAGAGAAGGGGCGGAAAGGAGAAAAATACTCTAGATGAGCCCTTTCCAACACTAGGAACAAATCTCTGTAGTTTTTGTGTAATTAATGGGGAATCTTGGTGGTGAAAATTTGAGTGGGGCTTGTGTATTTCTGCTGGGTTTTACCCAGTGAAAAATGCACGTCAAGGAGTATAATAAAGGGTCATGCACAAAGTTTTCTCTCGGGCTACCTGTAGCTAGCCGAATCTGGGAGGGCTGTGAAAAATCTTTCCAGCGCCCTGTTTGTTGGTGATTATAGGCAGAATGGCAGCCCACAGAGCCAGATGTGATGCCGTGTCGCCTTCTGATGCATCCATCCATCCTTGTCCAAGACAGGCCTGAAAGTGCTGATTGTTCTCACTGCTTTAGTGGGGCTATAGTGACTGCCCAGGGCCCGAGGGCTGTGCTGGGGTGCATGTTCTGGACTTGTGGTTGTGTTTCCCAAAGATGAAACTAGGAGACAACGCTTCAGCTCGTGTGAAGGTGTGAGAGAGATAGTGATGGGAGAGAGATGGCAAAACTTGTGGGAAGATGTAGAATCTAATTCTGTAAAGGTCAAGTTAAAAGCCTGACTTAAAAATTCATCACTCTCTTGCCCTAAAACAAAAGTCACAGTGGGATCACTAATGAAGCAGCCATACTTGGTGCGTGTGTGGATGCGAGACCATGCAAACTGGGGCCTGATTCTCCTTCCATGCCCTCTGACAGTGGTTTAGTTCATGGGGATGAATGGGGTTGCGGCCCCCCTGGGCGAGCAGTTTGTAGCACAGGTGGCTTTACTCGATCACGTTATTGAAGGCAGAGGCGGTGTTTGTTCCAGGTAGGAAACTCTCCTATTAATATTGGTGGCGTCCACAGGCGTGGTGGCAGCGCCGAGGCGGCAGTGACATCTAGTGGCTCCCGGCCTTGGGCTCCTTTCCTGAAGCCACCTAAATCTTTCAGTTGCCCAGTCTTGTTTTGCCACTCTTGAACATGCTTCTGCAACAGCTGTGATTCCCGGTCAGCAGCATGTGACTGTTTTGCAGAGCTGATACGTTCCTTCCTCCAGATGGTCTCTCTTCACACAGCTGAAATTGCTGGTTGTTCGTGGGGTTTGTCTCCAGACTCTGAAGTGTTGCGGGGTGCTGCCAGGCTCAGCCCTCAGGCTCAGCTTTCTTCAGCCTGCTGGTGAAGGCCGGGCAGGAGAGGGATGCTCCCAAACTCCATGCCGATACTAGGGCTAGATTATCTCAAATGTCCCTTCTGGCAGAGGCAAGTCACGGCTCTGGGCTGCACAGGTAGGAGTGCTGGGTTGGCCTTGGAGTCTCTAGGATGAGTATTTGTCATCAAACCCCTACTTTACCCTAGCTTCTCTCATGGAAAAGCTTAGTACTGCCTAGTTTTCATTTTCAGGAATTTCTTTTAAATGTCACCCTTTATTACAAAGGCTCCAAAGTACCTCTTTCCCCCTCTTCCCTCTGCGATTGCTAAC